AGGCCTTCTTTCAGTTGTTGGAATAAATAGCAAAGTCGAAACGAAAAGCACAGTGTTGTCTCCTCTTGCTGTATTCACCTCTTTAAGGGAGAGGCTTATAGATTTTATAATTGCTAAATTAAATGTTCTACAAAATAATATTTTTCTTTTTGTCCAAAATGGAATTTGCATTTTGATTTGTCTCATCACATTTTCATGTGCAGGTCCCTAAATACAAAAGGGTTAACTCCAGTTTGTGATCTACCCCCTGAGTCTTGAGAGCTGTTTGGTTACAAATGCAAATAAAAGTTCACTGCCCATTCTCCACCGGTGGTGCTCACAAGGGATGGGCAGGGAGGTGGGCCTTGCATCACATTACTCTGTGGCTTAAGATCTTTCTTGAATATTTCAGGAGTTGTTCCTGGAAGACAGTTCAACGTTTTAAAGAAATAGTGCCAGTTCATTGTACTTCTGATTGTTTTTACAGTACTTTACAATAAATGAAATTTTGTTTTCTGAAAGCTGATGGGTCTTTTGTTCTTTGTGCTTTGGGAAACACCCATTAGCAGGATTACTGATATTTTAGTTTTCTGAATCACACATTTGTTCAATATATGCAGCAAATATAAAACACATCAAAAGTCTTTTCTATACTAAAGTGATATGCTTCCACTGTAGAGTTCTTCATGGTGCAGATGTTGAATTAAGATGTCATTTGGATTAACAAATACAGTCAGGAAAAAAAAAAGTACACATGGATGTGATAAAAATCTTTCCTAATTAAGAAAATGTTAGGATTCATCAAAGTGAAACAGAGCATGTAAGGCCAGAGTTATTACTGCAAAACGAGGAGAGGAAAGGGAACTACTTGAACGGATTATCTTTTTTCCTGTAAACACAGAGAACTTAATTACATTGAGTCTTTGCTTGCTTGTACAAGTAGAATTGCAGCTAAGCTGGTGATGCATTAAAATCAGGTGCACCCCATCTCTTCAATTAATTTGTAATGCCAGCATACAGACTGAATTGCACAGGTGCTTTTTAACTAATCCTCACAGAGAAATCTCCTGAGCTGCCAGGATATCACTTACCATCTGCCACTTTCCAGTAGCATCTTGTAAGGTCCAGTTGATCTGGCTGCTGCATGGAAGGTCTTGTGGGCCTTACCAAGCAAGGAGAGGCAAAGATTGTTTCTCAAAAGTTATTAAATGACGGTCCTTTGCTCCTAAATCTTCTAGGAATGCAAATTAGTAGAAACTGCCTTAGATTGGTCAAGAAATTACATTAGTCTAGTATTTTTATACTATTAGTGCTACTTAAAATGAACCAAAGGTGTTTGGCCAGGTGTGATATATTTTCCAAAGTAACACCAAGAGCAGGCAGGTCTCCATTGTTCCTGGTATGACAAGACTGCACAGGCCCTGCTGCAGGAAACTTTGTAGTAAATTTTGTGGAAAACTCGGGGAACTTAGAAGCAGGAAAGATGCTTGTCAAGCACATGGTAGGAAAGAACTGGATGTATCCTCATTTCTAAATGGGAGGTGAATCCAAACAACCTGTGCAATGCAAGACATCTGCCCCAAATAGGAAGTGAACTGACTGGCCCATAACTTGGACAAAATTCTATCACTCCTTGAAGAAACATACTCCAAAGAGAACATGTCAGCCCACTTAGCCTTTCTGAAGGCAATGCTTTCAAAACATCTAGCTTTACATGGCCCCTGTGTGCCCATCAGCTCCAATTCAAATAGGTGCAAGTGTTGCAACACTGTTGTGCTGGGCAGTATCTGCTGTTCCTCAGCTGTAAATTAAATTCTTGCCCTGAATAGTCTGCCACCTTGGTAGTTTCCTTGAGGGTGATTACTGCCTGGCAGAAATTATTAAAATCAAACCAGAGAATAAGAAACAAACAGGCAATCCAGCAAAGGTCATGAAGAGGATGTTTGTTTTTACCACATCAACAACTGGAAAAGGAACTGCACAAATTTTCAAGCCAATTAAAAAGAAAATTTTTAACATACTGAATATGATTAAGATGGTTAAAGGATTGTAGCACCTGTTAATGAAGCTGAGAGATGTGGAATTGGAGAAGGCTTGGGGAGGGATCAGTGTGGGACAGAGTAAAGAGAATGGAGACAGATACGTCTTGGCAGTGTCTAGTATCAGGACGAGACAGTGAGCACACCCTCAAGCACACAAAATTCTGTTTAAATTTAAGAAAAAGCTTTTTTTACTGTGAGAATGGTTGAACACTGGAACAGGTTGTCCAGACGCTGTGGAGTCTCCACACTTGGTGATCTTTAAAACCGGACTGGATGTGATTTCAGGCATCTGTTCAAGCTGACTCTGGTAGGAGTGAAGCAGTTGGAGTAGATGATCTCCCAAGGTTTCTCCCAACCTTAAGTGTTTTGTGGAATCCAGGGTCTTTTCTTAAAAGGTAAAGGTTTTCTCAAGAAAACCTACAAACCCAAAACAAAAAAACCAACCAAACAACAACAAAACAGTGTTTCAGTGACATGATGAAGCTAAAGACAACCTAATCTTGCTCCAGTGCTCCTTTGAAGAAAAGACTGCAAGAGGAGTGCCCAGGTGCCCTTTTGAAGTTATTTGGGTTTTCAGCTGCTGGTGGTGGTTCTGAGACCTTTGCTCTCCCTGTTTTCCTGGCATGTTCCAGCTCCCTTGGCTGCTACTGCTGCACCTGTGTCCTCTAGGAAAGCAGCTGCCTTCGGCTGTGATGTATTTAATGGGAGCCACATGGCCAAAGCTTCTTGGCACTGAACACACAGCCTGATGCTTTTTTCTCATTTTGAATATGTACATCCTAAAAGAGCTCAAGCATGGAGACGAATTAACTTCTGAGGTTCTTCAAGGTCATGAGGCAAGAAATTCTGTGTTTGCTGGCTACTAGGTAGTAAAACAAAGGCAGGGAATTATTTGTGATTTCCCTCGTGTCCGCTTCCATAGTTTTGCTGGCTTCCAGCTCCACTCATTGCTTTCTTCCTTCTCTGTGTTTTAAGATTTGATTGAGAGACCTATTGGTATGATATGATGATACTGCCCGTTCTCATAGCTCTGGGGAACCAGTGGGTTAGTTGAGGTGACTGAGAGCCCTCAAAGTTAAAGGGGTGCTCAAGAGGAGAAAATGAGAGATGGAATGTCTTTGCAAGCTCTGCTTTCCCCAAGCAAGGTAATAAAATCTCCAGTGTTACTTGTAAGGTTTGTGTGGGGAAAACTCCTCCAGGCCTGGAAAAGGCAGGGTTGGAGCCGGGCCAGGCAGTGGTGTTGTGGTGCAGCAGCTTGTGAAGCCAGCATGGGGACGCTGTGTGTGCCAGCTCAAGGGACAGGGAGGTGGTGAGCAAATGCTGTGCTGTAGGCTGGGGTGTCTGTGGCCAGATTTCTTGGACACTTGAACACTTTGCAGCCGCTGCAGGTCCCAGGCTTACTGAGCACGCAGAGGTGACAAAAGGCAGATGAACGGCAATGTGTGCCAGATGCTCCCAGTGCAGTCACAGGGAGGGACTGAACAGGCTGGGGTTCCTCTCCACAGCCATGGTATCTTTGCAGATTAGCAACAAATCAAAGCTGCATCCAAGGAAGTGGTAATTGATGGATGGGAAGTGGTTGATTTGGCTTTTTCTTTTCAGCTGTTTGATTTCCCACCAAACTTCTTCAGTGACCAAAATCTAGAGTCGATCAAGCTCTGTGGCACCAGGTGGCCAGCAGATCTCCATATCCCTGAGGTGTTGTTCTTGCTAGTGGTAGTGCAAGGCTGATGTTTTCATATCATATGAAATTTGATTTGGTTTGTATTTTGTTTTGTGAACCCAGTAAACAGCAATTTCAATCTTAAAGCTGGACAATGCTGTCTTTTTCTGAATAATTCTAATCCTCTCCCTGGTGTGCTGGGCTTTTATGTGGATTGGATCAGGTCTCACAAGTGCTGTTCATCCTGAAAGCTCTCTGTGAACACGTGTATTGTTTCATTCTAAAATTGTTTATCCAACATGCCTTTGCTGTGGCCCTTTAGCATCTCCTTTCTAATTAAGAATTTGTTTTTCAGGTTTGTTCAAAAGGCACCTTGCACAGTTTGTTGGGACATTGTTGAACAAGAAAATGCTCACTGATCTCTTAAAATTCTTTGCTCTAGCTCTCCCTTTTATATGTAATACTCATGGCTCTTGAAAAGCTTTGCAGTGCCTATGTCCTTGGTGAATTTCTTGGACTCAGATTTGGAAGAGATGGAGGGGTGAGGAACAGGGAATAGAGAGATATAAGCTCTGGGCTCTCCCTAGCTGCAGCCTGATTAAGCATCTCTCTTATAGTGAATTCAAAAAACTCTTTTGTCTGGACGTTCTTAAGGGCTCCCCTGTTACTTTCTACTACAGACAGGACAGTTATTTCTATTTTTCTGTGCTTCAGACTGTGCCTCAGGCTTTGCAATTGTTTGCAATGGCAGTGTCAGGTGGAAGTTGAAATTGTTTGGGTTTGGGCGGATTTTTTTGTTAGTTTGGGGTGCTTTTCTTATTCCTCAACTTGCTTGGTGATGAATTCTCTACCTGATGGCACAGTCAAAATCTCTTGTGGTAGTCAGAGGAAACCATGCCAGTGCCTTCATCTGTTCTGCACCCTCCTATGTGTTTTTCTCCTTAGATGTCCTCTCCAGAACTTGTCAGGCAGTGCTGGTGTGAAGCAGTGGCTTCTTCTGGGTAACCTTCAGCATGAGCAGTGAGCCTCTTCCTGGAATTTTTAAGTTGAGTGGCCTCAGCTATCTCATAAGCTTTGTAATGATAACTCTGAGGGTGCAAATCTACCTGAAAAGTGAAGTTGAGGGTGCTGCTGCTGAGCTTCACCTTTGTTGCCTCATCCTTTCTGGTTTAGGCAAGATCTTGTTGATAAATGGGGAGAAACTGAAGCAGCAAAGCTACTGTAAAACAAAGCTCAGTTTCCTGGCAGTGTGTTTATTTATTTCAAATTCATACTACCAGCACACACAGGGCATAACACATGACTTCTCTGCAACAGCAACTCTTTTGCAAGATATTTATTTTAGGCTTCTGTTAAACACATGAATAAACCAGCAAAAGAAAATTATAATTCCAACAATGATGAGGTCAATCTTAGAGAGAAAACTGTCTCGAGAGCACCCGCTTAAGTGAAACTGTCACTTGTGACAACTGTGTACATTCACAGACACAGCAGGATGCAATCGATTAATGGCTACTTGGGCTCAATGGGAGGCGGAGATGCAGCTGTCCCTGATTTTTAGCCTTCTTGCACACCAATGCTTTCCACTGGAGACTGGTAAACGGGAATATTCTGACCATCCTGCAGTTTCAAGGTGACATCCTGAAGGCACCAGCTGACACAAACCAAAGAAGATTTTTAACTTGTAGCAATCATTTTTAACATGGCAAAGTCAGCGTAGAAACAGCTGGCACTGAGTAACAAATCATTCTACACATTCATTGCTTTTAAAAATTCTCTCAAGTGTTTTAAAACTTGGTTTGTGAGCGCCAGCTTCTGAAAGCTGTTTTCCCTAATACTGTAGCACAGCCCAGATTTAAAGGTCTGGTATGCATGTTCCTATTTGCTGCAATTCAAATAAAAACCTGCCAGCTCTTCTTAGGACATTCCTCCCCCGACCCGGTGCCTTTTTTCCTCTCCATCCTGTGGGTGCATTCCTTGCTCCACTCCTCTCCAGCCTTGGAGCCAGACAGTGTTGCTAAGGAATTATTCTGGCTTGGAAGAGTTTGAACACTGTGTGATCGCTCAATGTGACTGCTGAAAACCTGACAGGGTATGACAGCAGTTACTCAAAGAAGGAAAACTGCATTTGTTGGAGACTGAGGGGGAGTATTTTCCTTCCTCTAAGCTCTGCTCCAAACCCACTTCTGAGAAACTCCTGATGCTGCTTTTCCAGCTGGAAAGGACTATTATTTTGGGGTACTAAAATAGGATTTTTTCAAAAGCTTCTGGCACTGGCCCAGCTCTGCTTTTGCTGGAGTCAGTGTTGAGTACATACAATTAGGTAATTAGGCTGCTGCACCTCTGTGCAATGGGTCTGCAGTAGGCCTCTGCTCAGTAGCCCTCTGCTCCCACCCCCAACCCAGGCCAAGCAACCAGGCTTGGAGGTCACCTGCTCATTCCCCATAGTGTGGCCTGGGGGCTCAGCCCTTCTCTTGGGCAGGCAAGAGTAATTTTGCAGTGCCTTGGCTGCCCTTGCCTCTGGGCACCCTCCCCATCCCTGTACTGCCTGCCTCTGGGTGAATGCCACTTCCTCCTGGACCAAAAAAAAGAGCTCACAGACTCCGAATTTTATTTTTCAGCTGTCTTCTCTTTTATCAAATAAATAAACCACTATGGACAGTCTGTACACCCAGAGTCAGATGCATTTCAGTGGCTCGGGTGCCTCAGCTACTCTTGCACAGAGCACTCAACTCCTGGTGTCATTTAGCTCTCTGTCTGTATTGGTGTGAGAGCTGCCCTGGTCTCCCCTGGAAAAGCACACATGCACTCTGCAGCATCCCACCAGGGTGGCCTGCTTACTTGCTCCTTACTCCCAGCCATTTTACTGTTAGTTCCTTAGTGGGATGCAAGGGCACCAAGTCCTGTCTCAGCCCCATGTGAAGCTGTGCTCAGGACCCTGCACATGGGTGGATTTAGTGGAGACAGATTTATCTGCCACAGATCCTTTTACGAGCAGATGTCTTTTCTTTTTCTTAGGTTTGCAGAAATGTAAAAAGAGCTCACAAGCTCTTTTTTGTTTTAAAACAAAACTCCAAGAGATGTGTATGCACTACTGTAGTTTAACATTTTGCCATCTCCAGTTGCCTTCACATCAATTGTGAACCAGGAATAACAGGGAACTGTCTGTGAAGAGGGGCTAAGAAGGAGTGAGGAGATGAGAGCTCAGGCACCAGGGAAGTGAGATATGCAAAAAATGGGGCTGGGGACCTCTGGGGTTGTTCCTGGTCATTAGGAAGGAGGCCAGGTCCAGTACTGAGTTTCTCAAGTCCCAGCCTAGTGCCTTTCTCACATCCTTTCACACTTCCCTTCCCATACTCACTCAGAAGAGAAATCCAGTAAGTCATGCTCATCTAATTATGAATAGAAAGCATCACCATATGGCTGGTGGCAGCTGAGTAAAAGTTTTGTAGCTTTTGGTTTCTAAACAGAGCTAATAGAAGTAACTAACAAGAGGTTTGCATCTAGTTAAACTTTTGAGTTCATGTAGTAATTCTTTGTTCAGTTCCAGAAACCAGTTTACTGTTGACAAAGAAGGTTTTCAGGCTTCAGTACTATGAAAATATAAAGTCACTTCCATATGATATGGTATCAGAGTATCCTTCTGCTATAATGTATCAGTTCTTGTACCTTTTTTTTTAACAATAAGGATCACACTTCCTGGATAGCCTAAAAATACAAATCCTGTGTTTTTAGCTCAGCTTGCAGAACTATAATAATATAGCTGTGCAATAATAATAAATGATATAATGTGTGATTCCCTTACTGCAATCCATAATTACCAGAGTTAGGACTGCTGTTCAAGAGCCCCTGCACCTCTGTGGGGATGCAGGGTGGGAGGGGACAATACTTTACCTTGGCTCACAATATTTCTTTATGTACTGAGCTACATTTTGCAGAACACACTTAAAGGAATGGCTCATATTGCTCTTCTATTCACATTCAGAGAGATGGATTAAAAAATATTTCTCAACTAACTTACCTTTTTGTCCTAATGAAAATAATAACCTTTCACAAGACCTTCAGACAGAAGTTTCTGCTTGATTTGTGTGCACCTCAGCAACATGGATGACTAAAGTAAATATCCTCCTCTACTCTTTTCTCCTACCACTTCTTTCCCATTTCTCCTGTTACCTCCCCCAGTACGCACCACTGATGGGAGTGGTCCATCTCCGAGTTTATGTAGAGGTAGCCTGCTGATTTTGTTCCAGACACCGGTAACTTTATCTGCAAATGCAAAAGCACATTAAAGATTCAAGTGTATTATGAAACAGACATTTACTCCTTCCAGTCAAAGAGCTCACACCTTTTTAACACTATAATTTTATTTATTTTTTTACTGTATTTCAGAGTTGTACTAAGCTATTCTAACTACTAACACGTGTGTGGCGACACAAGTATGTCTGCTCTGCCATGCATTAATCTCTCTCTGCTGAAAGAATGTACTGTGCTACAGCTGCAACCCCCAGGGAAAACCACTGGCTCCCTGAAATATTTATGATCAAACACCTTTCCTTACCAGAATGCATGATCATCCAGAGATGACCTGAACTGTCAGAGCTTCCCATAACTATTACCAGCCTGTAGGTTGAGATCCTCTGCATATCAGTCCCTTAACACACACTGAGGCAATGAGATGTTCAATGATCTTTTATTTTCAGTGTGACAAATTTTATCACTTGTCTGTTTAACAAACAAAGCTGCAGCTGCAGCAGCAGCAGCAGCCAATTACACTGGGTCTAATGTCTGAATAAAATAAATGTTTCAGGTGTAGCATTTGCTGGTGGTGATGCAATCACAGAGAAAATTCCAGGTGTTTGCCAACAGACCCAGGAGCTGGGAATGTTCTAAAACCAGTAAATTGACCTGTGCTATAGTGATGATTAACTAGCTTATTTAATGAGAACATGAATACTCAGGAGCATGAAGAAAGTTGGTGATTTGTGTCTTGGGTGAGGTCAGTAGAAGGCAGGGTTTGACTTCACCCTGAGTCACCCAAGCGACCAGCATTCTTAAACAGTGACATAGGAAAACATCCGTGGGAAAGGGTATCTTTTCAGTCAGTATATGAGATCGTGTGGGGTTTTGCATGATTTTTTTCCTTAGATATGTTCCCTGGTGTCATCTATAAAACACAGGAAATGTTTTGGTCCAGGGTATCAGGTAAGTGCAGCCTGGCTGAAGTGAAATGGAAAGTAATTTTATGTGAGCTGGTTAAAGGTTGAGTTTTCTTCTATCTTACCCTGATAGCCGCACTCCCTCATTGTAAGATCTGACCCATTCCTTAATGCCCTTGCTTGGTCCCTGGCATTCATACCTACTCACCCGTAAAAACAAAATTAGTCCCATGTGATGAGTTACCTTAGTGAAGGACCTGGAGAGGTTCCTAAGGGCACTCAGTATTACTAGCAAAATAAGGGAAAGGCAGCCAGTCCTGGATTAAGGGATAAAAACACTGATGGAAAGTACTTTTGAGGCATCAATGCCAAGTGGAAGTGTACTTGCAAGGTTTGCCTGGGCCCAGCCCTTGGCTGATACAAGGCAGCCTTGTGCAATACTTCAGCACCCAGCACAGCATTCTCCAGTCACTGAGTAACCCTCATGCTGAGTCTCAGGCTGGGCAGCCATTCCCAATGACACAAACTTACAGGTGCTCTTAAAAAGCACACCATTTATGCTGTTCCACAGCATAGCCTGGAAGAGGCTGTAAAACTCCTCTGAATAAAGCTCTAAAAACTAGCATGGGACCTATCTGGGGGGGTAAAGGAAGGCAGGTGCTATTTTAAAGCTGGATCTGATACATCTCTAAAAATGATTTTGTGGCTTACAGTGTGGGGGTTGGGGCTGACTGTTTTGAGAGGTTCCTCGGCATTCTGTGATGGGCCCATATAGCACAACATGGAGATGCTGCTCTTGCTGTTTCTAGGCTAGTAGATTTATGCTCTGGAAATCCATTCCTCTTCCAGATCAATTGGTGTTCCATCCTACTTCCTTCCAGTAACCCCAGGTGACTCGTGACCCGCTGAAAATCCCCTGGCTGATCTCTTGTCACCTGACATCTCGGGAAGCCACCCTGTGACACCGCCTGCCCGGTGTTACCCGTGCTCTTTCTGTGTCCACACGATTGCTCCCATCTGTCAGGCGGATGTTGTGAACCTTAAGAGGGGGCGCACCCAGGGCTTCCAGGGCATCAGGATTGCTGTTCAGTTGCTCCAAAGCTTGCTGGTAATACTGGGTCCTGGCAAAACTTTCTAGGTGAGAGAAGCAGGGTAGTGAGGAGACTATTCACTTAAAACATAAGCTTAAAAAAAAGAAAAAGACATTTTCTCCAGACTACCACACCCTCCCTGAAATACAGTCCAAAACTATTAATTAGGAGAAATTTGGCTAAAGGAGGAAACACACCCTTACATCAGAGAAGCAAATGTTTATTCAGCTCATTTAAGTGAAGAGGGCTCTGAACACAGCCTATTCCATTCTGACATACAGCTCAGCTTACGGCTGTGTCTCCCCACTTTTCATGCATTTGTAGATTATCTAAAAGGAAGGGAAAAAAAAGGTACAAAGATGAGTATCTGAAATGTTCTGATAAAAATTCTATTTTTATTTTTTTCTGTTGGAGGTACATAAAATATTTTAAGAATGGGGAATATCCTGCACACACTGAGAGGGGAATTGCTGCTGCTGTAGAACTCTAGCTGTGGTCTTGGTACAGCTTTCCAAGTGGCAGCCATGAAGCTATAACTCGGCTGACAGAGGCCTTAGAAGGGAGGCACCACTCAAGTTACTGGTCAAGTAGCCACAAGCACTGTAAATGGATGCTGCAGTGTTGGCACATGGAGGACAGTTGTGGCAAACTGCTATTTATCAATGTCTGGTTGCTCTGTATGGCTGTGAAACGCTCTGTTGTGGTCGTCAATGGGAAGGGCGCAGCTGAGGAGCTGGAGACCTCCACACCCTCCTTATGGAGACAGATTTGCTTATTAACAGTGTTAAGGCTGTCTTGCTGGGGTTTTTTGACATCAAGAAAAGCAGAGTTAAGCTAAGAGTGTGTAGTTGTTAAATCTTACTCTGGCAACTTTGCCCTCACCTTTCAAAGGGCTTAAAATAAAGTGCAAGGTTTGTTTCTTAGTCTCTTGCCTGCCAGTATCAATCTTAGAGCTTGAGGCAGAAGCATGCTGCCCCCTCTCCCTAATTAGAGGCATGCCTTTTGAGCCAGCAGCATCCAGTTGGCATAGAAACAGCTTTGCTAGGCTGTCACCTGTGTTGTTCCTCCTGTGTCTCCCCAGAGCATCTTAAGGATGCTCCAGCCAAAAGGGTTGCAGCATGCCCACCCTTTGGTACCTATAAATCATGGTGAACAGCCACCTAGACTATGTGAAAAGTATGTTGTGTTCATCCTGCAGGTTGGAGAAGAAATGGATTCTAATTTCCTGGTGCTTCTTCTCAGCTGTTCCTTGTTAGCATCTCATGCATCAGACAGTAAATGCCCAACTAATCCATTTGTTCCCACATCTTTTGTTAGGGGAGCTGAAAGCATGCTGGAGTTGGCTGAGCAGACTGCTTCCATGAGAAGGGTGTGGAGATGATGAGAATAAATAGAAATAGGATTACCTGAGTATTTGTACAAGCTTGCACAGAGACCACGTGCATGCAAACTTCCCTTCAGCCTGAAGGAAGGGAAGGGAAGGAAGCCTCTCCCACTGCTCCCACCACTATAGAGGCCACTTGTTCCTCACTAGCCCATGTATGGGCCAGTTCTGTGCAGAACTTCTGGGCAGAAGGCACTGGGATAGCCCCAGGCATGAGCCAAGGGAGCCTGGCTGAGTCATCAGGCAGCTGCTCAGTGGCCACTGAAATCGCAAGAGAGCCAGAAGTAGCCATTGCAATGTGCCACTTGACTGCACAGCCAAGGCATGTGGGGAACAAGCCCTCGGGCTTGCTGTGTAGCACAGGGGGTGAGTACCCCACGAGATTTCTAGATAACAGTGCTGAAGCTGAAAATTAAAAAAATGTTAATGTCCTTGTTAAAGCCAAATTCAATATTTTAAAGCATAAGGATCATATTTCTATCATGTACTCCAGAGCTTGGGGGCATGAGCTGCCTAAAATTAAAGCCTGCTTTCCAGCCCTGTCTGATTTGTTATTAATATGTGTAAAATGAAGGGCAGGTTTCAGAGCTTATCTGAGGGCTTGAGAAACAGGCTTGGCTACACATTTTTTTTTGGCAGCATCCTTTGGTATCAGGGTAGGTGAAAAGCAATAGCATTTGATAGCACTAACAAGGGAGAGGCATGGGGCCAAGAGGCCTATGGCACCCCCTGAGAGAGAGGCAAAGCTTATTTCTACTCTGATGCTAAATATCTAAAAGCAGTTTTAGAAAACATAAACATCTATAATTTGGACTAAAAATGTGAATTCTTGGCCAAAGACACATAGCAATTAGAGATGTCTATAAACAGCAACATCACCTGTCTAGTTCTTCTCTTTGTCCATGTCTTCTCAGTGCTGACTGCTCTTACCTGTAGTTCATTCAGGAGAAACTTACGATTTCTTAGCATTTCACAGGTGTGTTGTGTTTAAGGGCCAGCACCACGCAGAGACTGACAGATAGAACTGCTAGACTTTAACACCTTCTTACAGATGGTCCTCTTTTACTGCCCAGTTACAAAATCTCAGTTAAGAAATGAAACCTGCATTACTGCAGGTGAAGCTTTCGCTTCACCATCACCCCCAGGAAATCCCCAAAAACCAGATTTTCTTCTAACCACAACAGCCTGTTCCCTATGCAATATGCGCCTCCGGAAATACACACAGCAGCACGCCAGAGAGCAAAAGCCCTGGGGATGAAAAAAGTAGAGCCCAGAGAGGCAGAACCCAGAAGCTCAGCCACATTTCCCTTAACTTCATGTGCTTTTCACAACTTGCATGCTGCTATTTTCCCCACTGCACAAAAGCTAGTCAAAGGGGCAGAGGAGAAATAAGGTTGCTAACAACCAAGACTTACTTTGCATAAGATTATACATCACGATGCATCCCCCGCCGCTGAACAGTCCCATGAAAACAGCCATTTGCTGCAGTTTTCTTAGAGAAGCTGGCATTTTTCCTCCCTGAAAAGAAAAAGAGAGGATAGTTGTAAAAGAAAGAAAGCCAAAGGGTTACTTCCCCCCTCCTCCTCTTTCCTAAAAGCCCTTTCCAACAAGGCCTGAATGAAAGCGCAGTGCACAGGCATCGAGCTCTTGCTTGCTGGGGCCCCACCGTGTGCCCAGAAGGATGAGTGGTGAGAACAGAGCAAACTGGGAACCCAGCTGGGTTGAATGTGTTTATTCAACTTCTTTTAGAGATGCCACCACTTTGCTAATTGCCGAGAAGAAAATGACCTCCCTGGTGTGGCCAGGGGCCAGTGCCGTGGCATTGTGGCAGGGGCTCCCAGTGCCCGTGTGTTTGCTCGCACACTGCGAGCATTCAGGCTCCAGGGGCCAGATTTCTCTCTCGAGTAAACTCCTCTAAAGTAAACATGCTCATGGCAGGGATGGATCTGGCCTTGAGTGGTAAGGGACAGAGCCAAGCCAGCATTGTGCCAGCAAAGATAATGGAGCCAGGGTGTGTGTATTCTGTTGTGTCAATTTTTTTCCCAAGCTGTGGATAAACAGGAAGTCTCTTGCAAGCTGTTTTTCTTCTTTCCTATGCCATCCCCGAAACTTGCCCTTTTAATGAGTCACAATTTTGACATTTGAATGCATGACCCAGCAGAATAAGAAACACTTCCACAGTTTGGGTAAGAGGGGTACTGAAGAGCCTGAGCTAATGCTCCTGCCCACAGCAGGTTAGTAGGAGTCAAGGTGAGTTGTCAGTAGGGGCGTAGCACTTTGCTTCAGGCTGTGGCAGGACGGGGCTTGAACAAGCATCTGAGCATTGGCTTGTGCTCTTGATTGTCTTGGAGATGGGATGGGAGAGAGGAAGGGTCTTGACAGCAATTAAAAAAAATTGCAAAAATATTTTCTTTTTCAATGGGCACACAAGTATATGAGCAACTGGGGGAGTTGTATGGGACTTCCAATCCCAAAGGCTTCACACCCCAATACTTGTCACACGACATTGAGGCTTAAGTGCTGCGCTCAATGAGAGCTGATTAATAAACCAAGGCCCAAGCCAGTTACAGAAATGTGACCTGGGCAAGGCAGTTTGAGCCCTGCTGTGGAAACCACCTCTAGCATCCCTCAGGTATGTGTTAGTCAGGTATTGTTCAGCTGACAACCACAGCTCAGCAAGGGTGGAGAGACAAGTGTCCCAACTTCTTCCCATCGTGGCCAGGTCAGGGTAACATGGGCAGCCTCTCTCTGCTCACCACTCTGCTGACATGCCCTCATACTGACACATGCTCTAAACTGAGGGAAACTGACTCTCCAAGGAAGTGGTCACAGCACTGCCTGTCTGAGTTCAAGAGGAGTACAGGCAATGTTCTTGGGCACCTGGTGTGATTCTTGGGGTGTTCTGTGCAGAGACAGGAACTGGACTCCATGATCCTTGTGGATCCCTTTCAACTCAGCATATTCTATGATTCTACCAAACTGTGAATGCAACTTGAGTATAAATTTCATCTCCTGCCCTGCTGGCACTAGCACTCAGTTATGTGTGCTATTCCTAGGTTGAATACTTTCCTTGTTAATTAGATTCCTTGATTTTTAATAACACTTAGTATTTTTTAAATTATTTCAGATTTGTGGATGGCTAATAGTGACAGCAACCCACAGAGGCATGTGATATTATGCCTATTTTATGCCCCAAAATGCCTAAACTGTGCCATTAGCATAGTTAGCTATCACCTCTCTCACTCCTGATCTGTTTCTCTGACGAGTTTTTTCTTCTCACTTCCCCTGGGGAACTTGAATGGCATGAGGAGTTTACAGCAGAGGAAATGTGTAAGTGTGGTTTTACAGAGAAACAGTGGTAGTCATTTCACAAGGACAGTGAGAACTTCCTGCTCGCCTGCTTGTGTTTGCAACTTTCCTTAAATCCCCTCAAAATCTGATTAATAACCAAGTTTCTTATAAGATTCATCTCGCCAGGAGGAGGCTCTGACACCAACACCACATAACAGGGACGGGACAAAAAACCCCGTGGTAAATCTGGAGGGAGGATCAGATATAACAGTTTGTGACCTGCAGCATTTGTTTTTGCCCCTTTCAAAGTTGTGGCCAGGAAAAAATTGCTTTCTGTGATTAAATTCAGGGTAATTGAATGCAACTGTCTGGGGGTGGAGGGTGCTGCTGGCAGCTTGCTGAGTAAGGGTGGGAAGACAGGGAGCTCTTGCACCAGTGAGGTTTTGACTGAGGCTCGGGGGACCTGCCTAGAAAACAGCAGAAATTAGAGGCTCTGCAACTCGCTGTCAGTGGGTTTGAGGTTTGTTAGGCCTCACGGTCTGCTCACACCCAGACAGAGGTGACGGATTGAAAGTAAGAAAGGCTTATTGCTGATCAGTCACATGCTCACACACACACTCTCATCACCGCCTCCGCTCCAGTGCTGCAGTGTAGAGATGGTGCCATCTGGCAAGGGAGCTCGGCAGCTGAGCAATGGTGATCCCATTAAGCACTGCTGCCCCGTGCAGCTTGCCTGGCTGCTCCTGAGGTGCTGCCCCTGCCCACAGCTGTCTTCTACTGCTGCTCCTGCTGAGGTAGAGATGTGGAGAGCTGAGGTGCATCCAAGCTGTGCACTAAAGTCCTCATCATGGTAACAGAACATCTCCATTGCTCATTTTCAGTCACAGTTGGAAGCCCATGGGCTGGAATACCCCATCCCTGTCTAGCCCTTAATGTTCTGGTCCCACTTGTTTCTCAGCTGTTTCCCCAAGCCAGTCTTATGACAGAACACTGTGGGAAAAGGTTCAGAGCTATGCATTTTAACAAGCCTCTCAAGACTGCAAACCCTCCCATCAATCTCATAATTCCTTCCCAGCCTCCAAAACCAAAGACAGGAGTGTCCTTGGAGCCCAGAGCACCCCTCACAGAGGGCTGCTGCTTCTCTTCCCTGCCATCCTGGTCCCCTGTGGAATGGATGCTTGAGTATTTCAGTCTTGAGCATCCTTTGGCACATAGTTGCTGCTGACTTCTGAACGGTGACAGCTTGTGAAGACCAAAATGTAATAAGGATCTGTGGTCTGCAAGGACTTGTCAGATGGATTTTCATCCTTCGGCCAGCTGTGTTTGCTGCTCCATTGGCTGTGCTGCTGAAGTGCCATGGGAGTGGCTCCCTAAGGAAGGGAAGCAGAGTCCTGCCCAGAGGTGTGCCTCCTGTCCTGAGCCTTTGCGAACATGACGTACAACTTGCGAACTGTAGCGGCTGTCACAGGGAAGGATCTAATCCCCTCCACTTCATTTGCCACAAAGGGATCAACTGAAAGAATTTTATAGATGCAACATGCAACTGCCTCCTAAGGAGGAAGTTCATGCTGCTATATGTGGTGATCTCCCCTGAGAACCAGTTATATCACTAACAGAGTATGCAAGTCAGCTGGTGGAAAAATAGACTTTTCCACAGCTGGTAATGAAAAAAAGCACAATTTAAAAGCAATGCTGTTCTGTAAAGGCATAATTTCCTCCACGTTATTTGCAGCAGTAAGAAAGATTAAGTGGAGATTAGCACCAAGAAAACCACTGAACTCACAGTTACCAGAAGAAAAGACCTTAAATCATTATAAGTAGCGTTCTCAAAAAATAAATGTTAAAGAGCAGAACACCCTAATAATAGTGATGTTCACTTTGTGCCTTGAAAATAGCAGGATATGGAGGAGAAGGCTTCACTTTGAAGCTAAGTGGGACTCAGACTGTTAACAAGATTTAACCAACTCCCAGGGTCACATGTGAAATGGTGTGTTACTGCAACAGTAAAGGCTGTTTTTAATTAGACTTTGTTTTCTCCACAGAGGATCTTCTAAAAATAGGCTGGCTTAAGACAGTCTGCCTTATTTTGGCAAATTTGGGTTTTCTGTTTGATCTCTGAAATTTGTGTGGCAGCATTTGGTGTCGGGTACCTCCACCAAAGGCAGGTATTGGAGAAGAAGGGCATTTTCATGAAGCATAAACATTAATTTTATTTTCCCTGGAATTGAGCAAGGGAGCTGTTGGTTCTATGGGGAAAGTATCCTCCTTCTCATCCTTCTTGTGCTACCAAACTCCACCAGGATCTCCTGCCTCTGGGTTCTAAGACAGACCAAAGAGCAAACTATAATACTGGTCTGAAACAAGAGGGAAGCAACTTGATCAATGCAAATTCGGTGTGATCACTGCTATCTATCCCAATCTGGGCCACTGCCTACCCACCTGACCCGGACAATACAGTGCCAGGCCACCAATAAAGGCAAATGGGAGCCTTTAAACCACCTTGAACCACTGCAGTCCTGAGGTGCTGGAATGACACACTAAATAGGTGCAGCAAAAGACTACTATTAAATTAAATTAAAATTCATCAATAGACCTGAACACAGACCTGAGCATCTAACTTCAAGACTGCAATTGCTGCTGACCCTTCTGCAATGGAACTCTCCCTTGGGCTGGTGGGTTTTTAATTTGCCTTAGGCATAACTTTTCAGCAAACCACCCAGGAAGTCACGAGAGATGAGGGGAATGTCAGGGAAACCACACACAAGCACACACTTGTATTTCACATTCTTGCTTTCTTGCCCATCCATTGATCTTCTAAGATCCATAAGGCAGGCATCTGGGTGTAGGCCAATTTCTATACTAATAACATGCTAGGACAACATTTTAGAGACATCTTTTTGATACTCACTGTCTACAACATCCCTTCATCACCAGTATTCTCACCAAAAACAGGACAGTACAGCAGAAGTGCTCTGACAGGATCTTCTGTCAGCAGAAAAAAGCATATTCTTTTCCCCTTTTTTCATGGAAATAACCTCAACATATTATTTACCTCATTTATGAGAGGTAACAGCACAAATTTTTGACCTTGCCAGCATGTTCAGAAACATCAAAGACTTTGCATGTATAGAGTGTCTTCACCAAGACCTCAGAAACTTGTAGTAAAGTTTGCTTAATTCATAGTCAAACCAAAAGCAGGATTAATACTTTTTTTCTTCTTTTTTCCC